AAAATATTTTAGGCGTGGTAGACCAGAAACTGATTTTAAGACCATTTGCAGTCACAGAATGGATTTTGCATGGAAGGATGTACTCAATCACACAGACATATTTGGTCCCCTTAATTCATTTAAATATTTGTGCATAGTTGGTGTCCCTAGGACAATGGTGCACTGACATCACATGGCTAGTAAAGATATGCCTTCTACTTCATATCTCTCAATATTTTTTGCTTAATCTTGCATTACTTCTGGACCCACTGCACTCCCTATTTCTCTCCACACATCATGATTCTTCTGCTCCTACTGTTGATACTCTCATCACTATTAAAACACTCACCTCCTCAGAGCTGCCATCTTTAACACAAAACAACATTGTTTTACCCAGTATGCACCTTCTCACAAATGCTCAAACACAAACATTGCTTTCCTTCTTGCAGGACGAACCTTGCACACAAAAGCAGGCAACAAGAAGAGGAGGGTTGCATCTTATGTAGTATTCTCTACACTGGAGGCAATGCCAGGAACATTACTTTTGGAAAGACTGAAGGACAAGTCCTGCAGGGTTTTCCACCTTTTTTTACTTTTCTCATTTGAATCCCAAACCTCACAAAATATACACTCTGAACTTGCACCGAAAAGTGTCAGTGCCAGGAGTTAACCCCACTAGTGGTATTAGCATCATGGGAGGTATATTCTGCCTTATCTCAACACACCTGACCCCTCAACCAGTTCATTTGTTGCTGCCAAACAAATAGAAAACACACACAGGTGCGAAGCTGAGTTCCAGCTGTTGACAGTTGACCCATTAACACCCAGAACTTCTAATCTATAACAGCTATTTCAAATGGCCTCTATGCAAGTTCAGCAGTTTCACCTCTCAATCTGCCACAAGGAAATACTTCATAAAAGTACTAGAATAGGTAAGCAAGCACAGAAGTCAGACACTACTTTTACATGAGTCTTTAAATAGGCATACATCTTTAAACAGGTAATCATGTAACCATTTGTCAAATTAAGGCTGGAGTCTATTGGAACAGCAAAATACGACTTTTTTAGTTTGCTGTTGATTGTTGTATTCCTCATGTAACACCTATGAAGGGTCACAGTTCGAGGGCCATGGTTGTGTCAGCTTTGGATCAGATGGGAGGGGGAAATGTTAGTGCTTGGCGGAGGGGAATGTAGGTCAGAAGAATCTCTCATCAATAATTTCTGCCTTAAGAGTTGTCAAGTTGCAGCTCTGCTGAATCGTGCTCTACATCTTCTCGTCCCTTAACCTCAACCTCTTCTTAATTTAGAGACACAATTAGATCAGCCATGATTTTATCGAATGGCAGAGCAAGCCCAAAGGGCCGCATGACCAACTCTTGCTCGTAGTTCATACTTAAGGGCCTCAACTGTTAGCAGGATCAAAAGGCTGTCCATAGACTTTTCCACCCTGGAGGCACGGTCCCCTCCCACTACCCTTCACCCAATTAATCCTCCCACCACAAAATTTGCAAAAGGCACTAAATTCCACCCACTGTTTCAGGAAAATGTTTTCGCAATCTAGTTAATCTAAACCTTACATTAGTGTTCGGGGGCCCTCAGAGGAATTATGAGCCAGTAGATATGAAATAGCTTTTGTCCTCAGAAAGCACTCTGCTATTTGTTAGTCTGTTTGTAACTAAGGGGGAACTAGGAACTGGTGCAGTATAGGAACAAATAAGTAACACAGGAAAATAAGCATAAACCTGCCTGAAATGCTGTTTGTGATACAAATAAATTGAACATTGAGTGAACGGAAGCAATTCCTGCTCCAACACAGAGCTAATTTGGAATGTGTGGGTGGTGGGCACAAATCTATGTTGTGCAGTCTATGAATGAACTAGAATCCAGAAAACTAGGTAAATTGTAACACCCTCTCCTTGCTTTTTGTTTGCACCCACATGGGCGAGGTGATGAACTACTGTCACCTCACAAAAAGTAGCATTGTTTCCTTCACCCTTGCAGTCTCATAGGTCTTTCTACTCCTCTTCTGGTCTGGGAGTGTAAGAAAATTTTGAGGAAATGTTCAGGAGCTCCACAAACTCCTTCTTGCAAAGCATTTTCACATCCTAACTGTCGTCAAAGAAGTGGTAGGGTAAAATAACTAATCAGGCACTTAATTTAATGGAGTTCAAGATTCCTTTAAATAATATTTGTGAAAGTTCCTTGCCAACTGTTCACGTCATGAACTGTTGGACAGGATAAGCACAAGCTGTTTCAAAAATATACAGAAAGCAATTCCATGAAGCATGTTTTCCTTCAGGCAACTGCCAAAAATACCCAATGAGCATCGAATCAATATGATATTGGGTCCACTTCTGATAATGGATGCTACACTGTGTAAAATGAGAGGAATGCAATCCAAAGTCCATTTAAAAAGAGATAATTGTTTGATCATCAATCTTCAGTTCCCTAACTGAGAAACAATGCACAGCAAAGTGCTGAGTATGGGTTAGACATCCAGCATAAAATCAAAGGATAACTTATGCCTGGGTTATTCTTTCAGCAAATACAATCAATCTGGTAAGGAAAGCGTTGTCTGACACCAGTATGGGTGATGTGTACTCTGGTTAGACTGGAGCAAGAGGAGAAAGAAAACATGTTTCAACAAATATAGTAGTAAGTTGCTGCTTGAAGGAAAAGCCTTAAGATAGCTCCCAGATATACTAAAGTTTATTAAAGTGCACTGACCGGTTGTGGAGAGTATTAAAGTGGACTGACCGAGTAAGCAGAGTATTGAACAAAAACAAAGTTGCTAGAAAAGCTCAGCAGGTCTGGCAGCATCTGTGAAGGAGAAACCAGAGTTAACGTTTCGGGTCTGGTGACCCTTCCTCAGAACTGAGTTCTGAGGAAGGGTCACCAGTCCCGAAAGGTTAACTCTGTTTTCTCCTTCACAGATGCTGCCTGCCCTGCTGAGCTTTTCCAGCAACTTTGTTTTTGTTCCTGACTTACAGCATCCGCAGTTCTTTTGGTTTTTAAGCAGAGTACTGAACTGCACTGAAACCAAAGTTTGGATGGAGATTGGGGGGTTGCAGGGAGGAGAGAGGGAGAAGATTATTAAAGTGCCTGACTAGGTAAGCAAACTATTAAACCACACTAATACCCAGCTGAGGGGACTATCAAAGTGACAGACCTAGTGAGTGGAGCATTAATGCATCAAGATCAAGTAAGCACAGTATTAAAGCAAAGAAACTATGCAAGCTGTGTGTTAAGCACAGACCACATAAGCACAATGTTATTGCCTACAGTCCAGATGAAAGGGATTTTGAAGTGCACTGAGATAACCTAGAAATAGATATTTATCCTCCATGGAATGAAAAACGGTTAGGATCCACGATGAGTGGTCTTTTCCCAGGACATGAACAGAAAAGTCTCCTTCTAGGATGTGGACTATTAAAGTCCACTGAGTCACTCAATGATGGGGGCATTAAACTAAAGTAAGAGGGTAGGTTAAAAAATGCCTGGGGAAAGAATATCAACAAGCATTGAAAGGAATTGTGTAAAAGGTTTTTAAGTGCATTCAGAAGAAAATGAGTAAGTAACCAGCATTATAATTTGCTGAGAAGTCAGATAAATAGGACTCTCATCCTGGGAGGTTAAGTAGGCAATTAATAGAACAAAGGAACAGGATATCTCAGCAGATCTCAGCACTTTAAGATTGTGGTGCATATGGAGTTGAGCATGCTATTGCTGTAACTGCAGTAGCAGTACATTTTCAGAAACTGGGCTTGTAACATTCAAAGTATTTAGATGGACATAGCTTATCCAAGCTAATAAGAATGACATTATATAATTCATTTCATGGCAGAATTCTTTGGAGCGGAGAGTCCAGGTCCAGTATCATAAGTATTCAGCATGTTCAAAAAATCTGTGTTACAATACCAAAGCCTTTAACTCTACCTTGTGCTCATTAAAAACTACATCCTATTCATGACTTTAAACATCAAAAGAACTTGAATAAAACAAGTACACTATTCCCTTTCAGTGTAATGCACAAAATAATACGAGGATTTGTAATTATTTCATCCAGTAACTGTGCTTAACTCGATAATCTTTCTTAATTACGTTAACTGGATTGTGCATTAGTAAACACAGTTGCCAGTTTTTAAAGACATATATCAGCAGGGAAAAATAAAACTAATGGAAATAGGACAAAGCAGGAAATTGTATGCGAGTTAGTCATGCCTCAGTTATTGATAAAATACTAGGATTCATAACATTAGAATGAAGAATTAAAAAACATGAGATTAGTAGCAGCTGTCAACCATGCCATACACTCAACTTTAAATGAACTAATTTGAAGAATTTACATAGATTAAGGAAATATAGAGAATGTGTATGTTGGACTTTCAAAGGATGTTTGATAGGGTGCCATTTAAAAGGCTTGTTATGATCATTAAGGCACATAGTACTAAAAGGAATGTTATATAAATAGGCAGTGAGGTGGTGAGGGTATAGAATGCAAGGAACAAATGGATGTTCCTCAGTTTACAAGGATGTTAGTACTGGTGTAAAAGTTTTGCTGTAACATTTTTTTTTCCCAGTTGTAGAAATACATTGGATATAGGAACAAGAGGATTATGTTGAAATTTCTGGATTACGATCAGTGAGGGACTAATTTATGCACAGAATGCAAGATGTAGGAGTAGAAGCAGACAATTCAGCCCATTGAGATCAATGAGATCACGACTGATCTGATAATCCTTAACTCCACTTTCCTGCCCTTTCCCCCACAACTCTTGATTCCCTAATTGATTAAAAATCTATCTCAGCCTTGAATATATTTAACAACCCAGCCTCTACATCCCTCTGTGGTAAAGAATTCCACAAATTAACTCTAATCTGAAAGAAGAAAAAATTCCTCCTCATCTCACTCTTAAAAGGGCAACCCCTTATTCTGAGCTTATGCCCTCCGGGGGAACCAACCTTTCTGCATCTACCCTATCAAGTCTCTTAAGAATCTTATACGTTTCAATAAGGTAGCCCTCTCATTCTTCTAAACTCCAATGAGTACAGGACTGACTTCCTCAACCTCTCCTCATAAGATGATTCCTCCATACCCAGAATCCACCTAGTGAACATTTGCTGGATTACCTCCAATGCCAGCATGTCTTTCCTTAGATAAGCAGCTCAAAACTGTTCACAGTATTCTAGCTGTGGTCTGAATAGTATAGTTGTATAGTTTTAGCAAGACTTCCCTATGACTGGGAGTAGGCAGATAGATGGCAGCTACAGTTTAATGGAATGAACTGAGAAAAAGTACATTTTGCAGAAAAGTAATACGAATGATCCCTTATGATGGTAACATTCTTTACATAATAGAGGAACAAAGAAACTTAGGCAAATGTTGAAAAGATCACTGCATTATTGCGAATTCTAAAAGTGAACATATACACCTGACATCTGTATCATAAGAATATTCTGAGAATATCCTCTTAAAGAAATTTAGATGTTTGACACTATTTGGTGCATTGTCTAGCAATTAGTTTGGTGTAGATTTCTTACATATTAATTTATCTTTGAGTTAGGGAGTCTTTGAGTAAGCTCGGGTGTGATAAGGAAAGCATTGCAGGAACTAATTTTGACAGGAAATGATACCATATTGCAAGATTTTTAATAGATTATGATACAAATGTCATATATACTGCTTCAAATGGGAGAATACAACCAATAATCTGGACCCAAATCTATAAAATGAATCAGGGATGTTCAGGTAGACTTTTAACTACATAATAAATTTACCTCTTACTTTATGAGTGTAGAGAAATTGGTGTTAATTATATTCCTATGTATGGCCATTATAATGATACATTTGTCCACAAAGACCACTGATGATAATTTCTAAAATTTTTGAATTCACACTGAATCACTATTAATATAATAGCAATTAGTCCAAATAAAGCTGTAATAGCAGCTGCCACATACACTTAAAGGATTCGCCAAAATATAGCTGGGCCATGTCATCTTAACCTTGCATGATTTACTAATTTGTGCTTTTAGAAACATGACCTTTGAACAATAAAAAGTGAGTATACTATGTATGCCCTTCATTATGCACAGCTAAAAACTAGGCATCCTCTCATCTCCTAAAATAAAGAAACGTATATCTATCACTACACCTTCCACTACATCCCAATAAAAGATTCTGGGGTTTTGTGCAGAGCAATACTAAATATAAAAACTGAAATAATGTTGCAGTTTTTCAAAACACTGGTAAGGGTATAGTTAAAGTACTGAATGCGGTATGGACTTTATTGGAAGGGTGAGTCATGGAAAGAAACAATGGAGGCCTACTTGAATGTCACTTGGAATGAGAACTTGTATAAAAGGATGTCACGAAAAACGGTCATTTTTTTCACTGGAAGGGGAAAACTTAATTGGCAGATCTGAAGAAGGTTTTCAAAATTATGAACATTACAGAGTAATAAAAGTTTGTTTTCACTCATTGTGAACTAGTTGCAAGGGACTTAGACTCAAAATTACCAATAGAAGGGCAAGTGGTAAGTATTTTTCACAGTTATTATTAGAAGAGGTAATGATTCATGTATGTTGACTCAGGCATCATTTAAAATGGATTTGGAAACGCATTTGAATAGTAAGAACATAAAATGATACAAAAGTTATGTACTTAAATAAGCACAAACACAGGCCCAATCAACTGAGAGTTCTTTGTTTGAGCCATGTAATTCTTTAATCAGAATAATTAAACAAAAGGCAGACTATGGTATAATGTAGTTCAGGACAATGTGATCTCCTGGACTAATTTTGATTGCTTAAGGGGCTCAGAGAGAAAATTTTCAGATCTCTCCATGATAGGCTTGGGGTTTTAGTTTTGCTTTTACCTCTCCAAGGAGACATGGCACTGAGTTGGTGTGAAGTGAACGTATTGTGATGCATAATGTGGGGAACAAGCTATATACACCCATGAGTCTTTTTCTGGCTGTCATTTTCATGTTTGTAATTGTTCTAATGTACATTGGAATCAAATTGTATAAATATAATATAATTGACATTAATGTATAACTGAGCTTAGGCCCAAACAGTATAAACGTATGACTTGATCAGAACAATGTAAAATAATCAAGAATAAAATAAGTGCCATAATTGCATACATAAAATTGTAAATGAGACAGAATGAATGTAAATATGTAACAGATTGACGTAAGTGTATATTGCACCTCAGTTATGCCTAAGATAGATACCTTTGATTAGAAGTTACATGGTTATCTGGTAAAGTTTGATTGAGATCAAATTAGCACCACACAAAATGATTTTCTTCTTGACCATAATTATCAAATAAAACTGCTGACGTAAAACAAAATGGGGGTGAAACTGGTGTATGCCAGCAGTGCAAAAAATGGTTTGCAGCAAATTCATAGATGATATTTTTCACTGCGCCAGTTTTAAATTTTCTGTTAACTTGGAAAATGTTGCAAAGCTTTTGAATTCCAAATCAAGTAAAAGCCGAGTGGGACATGAAAATCAATCTCCAAAAAAGTGTCTGAACTCTTGTTCTGTGAACCTTAGTGTAAAGAATATCAGGAGAGGTGAAACTTTAGCTGCCAATTTACTAAGCATCCACTTCATGCTGCTGGCAGTGCCCAATTTCACTACCAATACTTCAGGATATTTTGGTTCAGTTTGTATTGATTGAAAAGTATTCGATGTGAAAAATAAAAAATAACATTTAAATTGTGAAATTTGCCTTGGGCATTAGTGTAAGGTGGACAGAATGTAAATGGCAAGACAAAACTGCTACTACTCAAGATGAATTTCAAGTTGTTAATATTTCATTTCTTATATTCTTTCTTCAAACACTGTTGACTAATTTAGTTATATTCTTATCCTCATTGTTTAGCACATTTGTTAATTTATTTAAGATAAATAATTAACAAACATGTTAAGGTACCACATAGAAACATTTTATACAAATACACCAATCAGCGACCCAACAGAGAAAATGAAAGGCCTAGTCAATGAGTAATGGAACCTCAGAATCTCTAGATCATGGTGTCAATGCAATATTTGGTCATAGTACCAGAAAGATGCTAGTTTAATTACGAATATAAAGAACTGAATATGCATTTACTTTGCTTTACACAATTTCTTTTATAAAGTGAGAAGAAAGCAAAGTAACAGCCTTTACACTTATGAAATTTTAATCCTTTGGTCAGAAAGAAGAGTCAAATTGATCCTTGCATTCTCCCTCATTCAAGCCTTGTGGACAAGTAATATATTTGAGACTTTACTTTCAGCGTGGCCCCTGACAAGCAGCCAATAGGGCCACTCATCTCCTCACAGAGGAAATCAATGTGTCCAGAGCAGATCAAACACCATAACACATCGATTACACTGCTGACTCTTAACCCATTTCTATCTAAATCGATAAAGGTCCTTTACTGGAAAGGAAATGCATCTCAACCCAAAAGACTGATAAAGGTTAACCCTTCTTCAGGGTATATTTGTTTACTGATCATTTGTGATCACTTGTTCTTGTGTGTTCCTTTGTATTATAGGCAGAGGATGGGCCTCTGTGTTGAATACCCAGTGTTCTGGAGACAGCAGTTCATCTTCAGAGAACAGCACATAAAGGTACCTTGTTTGAGGAGATAAATGAAAAAAAGGGTTAATGCACCACCTGAAATAATGAAAATGAAGAACAATCATATTATTTCTCTCCAGGTGAATTTGGTATGAAGAAGGATCAGGCAGGAGAGGCAGATGGGGATCCCACTGTCTTTCTCCTTCTGTCTTGATTGTGTCCATGGCATGAATTCTCATGGATGACCTATGCACCCTACCATCAACTGAGGTCTTAGGTTGTTAATTAATGCCTACTTTAGGTCTTCCTACACCTGCTGGTACGCACAATATGGCAAGCAGGGGACGTTCCACATGGAAGCCTGAAAAACAAACCACGTGGGGGAGTGGGGATTCTTGTTTAAAGGCATTCAGTGCCCGATTAAGGACCAGCATCTGGAAATTAGGTGCTGCTGAGAGCCATTGCTATGGCCCATGAAGCAGCCACTAAGGAACTCAATAGGCCCTGTGGTAGGTTGGCTGCCTGACATCTTGCCTGCATTCACACCCTCCAAAATTTCAAGATCGGAGCAGGCAGAGAAGTGGAGGGAAGTCCACCAGAGGATTAACATGCCCTCCTCACCTTGAAACCTGCTGGTGGAGGTGCATAAAACCCAACCAATTGTTTTAGTACTCTATGCAGCTTATCTGAATATATCAGTAGCAATAAATTTAATATCAAAAAGTACTTGAGAAACTCAGCAGATCTGGCAGCATCTGTGTAGAAATAAACAGAGTTAATGTTTCGAGTCTGTTATGACATCTTCTGAAGAGCAGTCCTATCGAATTTGAAACATTAACTCTGTTGCTCCCTCCACAGATGCTGCTGACCTGCTGTTGTTTTCTGCTTGTTTCAGATTTCCAGCATTTTGCTTTTAATTGAACATTTGTTGTTTTATTTCGCTTTAATACCTACTTTAATGTCTCTGCAAGAAAAAAGCTCTGCTGTACATCATCATGATGTGGCAAGGTGCTGTACACATCTCTTATCCCAGAAAATCCTGCATCTACTCGACAGTACTGCTCCAGAGCCTGTACAAATAAAAAAATTGGGGCTAAATTTAGCTTGTTGCTCTTCTTCAAAAACTCTACTCTGTCTTACCTCAGAATGCAGACTTTTCACGAGAATTTCCCTCCTATGAACTCTTCAAGCTAATCTTGTCCATTAGACATTCCTTGTGCTCATTTGACCCATTCCCACAATATGACAGAAATTTCCCTTCCAGTTCCCATCTTAGCCAGTATTATTAACAGTTATCTCTTGCTTATTTTCCTGGAAATCTTTGTTTGGATCCTGCCAATTAGATATCTATCCTTGTTACAACACCAAAATGGCTCTTACTAATATCTTGAATTAACTCACCTCATCCTTCTTAATTTATCTAGAGCTTTTGACATGGTTGATCACACCTAGCACCTTTCCAATGTCAACTAACTCAGTGGGACTGCTTTCATCTGGTTCCATTCTCATCTATCTGACTGAAGTCAGAGTATCACTTGCAATGTTTCTCTTCCTGCTGCTGCAGAAAGGTCAATCCTTAACCCCCTCCAATTTTCTCGCTACATGCTGCACCTTGGTGACATCATCCAAAAGTAGAGGGCTGGCTAACGCATGCACAGTGATGACATCTAACTCACCCTCACCTTTTGACTAAATTATCAGACTGCTTACATTAAATATTGGGGAGATTGAAACCATTGTTTTTGGTCTTCACTCCAAATTCCAATTCCTAGCTAGCAACTCCATCTCTCTACCTGATGACTGCCTGTGATTAAATAAGACTGTTCGCAACCTTGGTGTTATATCTGATCCAAAGATGAGCTTCCGGCCTTTGATTCACCCCATTTCCAGCTGTGTAGTACAGCCTGATTTCATCCCTGCCTCAGCTCATTTGCTGCTCAAACCCTCATTCATGCCTTTGTTACCTCAATATTTGACTAATTAATAGACACTTGGTCTTATACATTTTACCCTTTCTAAATGTGAAATCATACAAAACACTGCTGCCTATGAACTAGCATGTACGGAGTTCCATTCACATCTGCTTGCTGACCTACATCAGCTCCTAGTCTGGCAATTCTTGATTTAAAAATCCTCACTCTTGTTTTAAATCTCTCCATATCACTGTCCCTCCCTATTCTGTAATCTCTTCAAGCTCTACAACCCACTGAAATAGACACTCCTCAAATCCTATCTTCGTGATCAAGCTATTGATCATCTGACATAATGTCTCCTTAAGTGACACAGATGTCATATCTTGTCAAATATAGTTTCTGTGAAGTCACGTATTATTATACTAAAAGTGCTTATAAAATACAAAGTTGTAATAGACAGATTATATAGTTAGTGCATTAAGTTTACTGATTAAGCACTGAAATTCCATGGAATTTCCATGAATGTCCTATATAAATACATATAAATACAATTGGGTAGAATCTTCCCAGGAACTGAAGAACATGGGCATCGGCAAGAAAGTTGGGTAAATCACATCAGATGGTCAATAAAGGGCTTCTTGACATCAAGAGAAAGAAGTCCTATTTTTTGACCAAGTGTTGAATACCAAAATGAGATTCTTCTCAATGAGCAACAAGAGGCCTACTTACACGCATTAGCATGCATTAACATCTAATTATTACCTAATGTTGCCTTATTAACATGCAGTTTCCTATTCTCCCATGAGCTGGATAGAAACTAGACAGTGACAGTTCCTGACATGAAAGTCAGAATGGTTACCTAGTGACTCCATCTCTGGGTCAGATATAACACCAAGGCTGCAAATAGTCTTGTTCAGTCTCAGGCAGTCATCAGGTAGAGAAATGGAGTGAATCACCACTTGTTCCTCTGGATCTCCATCTTTGACAACAAGCACCAACATCTTAGGGACTGCCCTTACCCCTCCCCAACACACCACCCCACCCCCTCCTCCACTTTGCCTTACATTGTTGTGCTTTGCTCCCCCCAGCCATACTTTAAATGCTCACAGTAGTTGTCTCAACTTGCCTTTTAGCACAGATGAAGTCTGGCAGTTTATCATGGTTGTAGGAATTATCACTCAAGGATGTGGATATGTTGCGATATGTCATGTTCCAAATTGATGTCACACCTGCAACATGTGACAGCCAAGTACACAGCAAACTGCACATTCTATGTGCTTCAACCAAATGGCCATGTCTCAAAGTCCAAGGGGAGTAGTGTCCTCAGTCAAGTCAAGGGAAACACCTTTCAGTCAGGGGTCCAGCACTATAAGTCCAGGGTAGCCTCTGATGTCAGTCCTTTATTTTACCTCTTCATTATGCTTCAGGGACTGATGGAACTCCCAGGGAAAAGGCAACAACATATTCTGGCATTAAGAAATTGGACTGGTGAAATAGTGAGACCACAGGAGTTAAATATAGGATTTCTGAGGAAGAAAACTGAAAATGACAGAGAGAGAGGGTACAACTTCTAATATTAGCTAAAAAGGGGACCTGCAAGAGAGGGCGGATGAAAAGGCTTTTAGTGGGAATTGAATCATGAGAGTAATTTGTCAGTCTCCTAAATTACAATAGCTTTTCTTGCAGGTAGGGTTTGAGGAGATTTGATTTAATGAACAATTGGAAGAGGAGCCAATTGAAGCTATGGTCTCTATCTTGCAGACAAAGGAATTCACAAGCTCCTTCCACTTGTTACAAGTGAGTGCAAGCAGCAAGAAGCAACAGTTGTAGAATGCAGTTAATAGTTATTTTTGCCCTCCAGAATTATCCCAGTATGGAGTGAGCCAGAAGAAAAATGAGAATGAAGCTCAGTAGAGCTTGAGGTGGTCTGACCAGATCTGGCAATGGATGGTTAAGTAGATATTCGACAAATATGCTCAAGTTTACTCCTCTTGGAGTTCAGGGAATAAAGATGTGGATTCACATGTACCAAATAGACAAGAGACTATCTATGGTTTACGTCAAAAGGGCGTCAACTGTGGAAGTTTGAGAATGGTTGAGCAAATGCACTTTTACTTAGTGAATGCAAATCTTCAAAGCCAAGCAATAGCCTACTCATTTGCTAAGTTTATGGTGATGAGTCTGCCATTGAGACTGTCGTGGGAAATCTCCTTAGTAGTGTGCAGCACTGTTTGTACCACTCCACAAGTTTAAGGGGTTTGTACCAAGGCCCCAGCAGCAGAGGTAGGCTGTGCAGGGGCCCTGCCTGTGCTAAACCAGTTTAGCAAGGGCCACTCTTGCCATGGCAGTTCAAAGTCTCCATTTGACAGATGGGTTTGTCACAAGAAATATGTTACTAACTTCTCATGTTTCCCATTCCTTGATCCAAAAGACGTTTGCTGGTAGATCTTGCTCAGGAAGGATGCTCCATATGTGGTGCAGTTATACAATGTGGTCAGTAAGTAGCTTGAACAGGTCATCATGAAGTGGTAATTGAGATGTAGCATGGATGTTTTCAACCAGCTTGTGGTTTTTCCATCAGCTGGTGGAGTGATGTTTGAGAGGAGAGAAAGCCAAGAGAGGATTCCAGTTATGATGTGCATTATTGAACCCCACTGTCAACAAGATGTGTACATGAAAGGCTTTGTCAGACAGGCGCATGGTACTCTGTTGCAGAATATGATAGGGTAAATATTGAGGTCCAGTGTGTTACGACAAGAGTGCCCAATGTCATCTCAACAAGCTTATTTAGTTGGTTGCTTTTGGTTTTGACCCGTTCTGCTCTTTTGTTCAGATGTTCTTTTCTAGAGTTAAGAGTCCTTTTCCAGAGTCATTCCTAAGTATGCTGAGCATTTATGCAATATGAAGAAGATAATTAATGTGAAACAGCTTGGAGTTTGAGACTGTGGCTGTGAGTACTTTGGAGGATAACTGTTGCAGAAACAGAAGTGAGTGAGAATTAGGAAAGGTATGGAAATGTGAATGGCTAGCCATACAATAAACTGGTCAATATTAGTCTTGTCAATAACAGAAACCCACATGAGTGGAAAACCATTGGGAGATGGTAAAGTTGAGTGAACAGCTATGAATATAGGTAGGAGAGTATCTTACACAGGGATGATTTTAGCAACAACACAAGAGGAGGGGTACATGGAGGAATGGAGTCAGTAGTAAGGATCCAGAGATTATGATGCTGGCCAAAGGTGATGGCTTTTATCTTTCTACTGCTTAGCTTAGCTAACCCTGGCTCATCCGAAAATGGATGCCAAAGAAGCAGTGCAGGAATTGAGAAAGATGGTGAAGAGAAAGGTGTGGATGTCACCTGAAAACATATGAAACTCACCCCATTGTGTCACTGTCACATTACAAGGTACTTTGACTATATTCCATAGAAAGGATTTACAAAAGAAAAGATCAATTAAAAGTCTTAAGTTTTAAAAGAGCAAACATATGTAAATTTATAAAGAAAGGTCATACTATGCAGTTATTTGCTGTATACATAATGAAGCCAGATATTGATACAGGTGTTTCTGCTATAACGCTTGTTTCGTTAATGTGGATTGGCTGTAATGTGATTGATGAATAGTGGACACTGTTCAGATAACGCAAACTTTCTGCTGTACAGGTATAGCGATTTTCTATAGTGATTTCCCTATAATGCAATTTTCTATAGCGCAATGCTATATGTGAACTTCAATACCTGTACTGTTACCCAGGATGATTTGGAAAAATGAGAGAGGCATTAACAGATCTTGGGGCTCCAGGCAGTCCCAGATTGAGTGGGAGATAAAAATGTCCCTTTTTATTCAGCTTCCAATGAATTTTCTTTCAAATTTAAGATACAGTAGTAGTTTTGTTTGAGTAATTCTTCTGGCCAAACCAAAAGAAGGAATCAGGAAGCAAGTCTCAATTTCCTGTTGAGATGAGAAAGGGGTTAAAAAAGAACACGTGGGGAGTAGATACCAAAGAGTTGTGAGAACGTAGGAGAAAACAGTTAGGAAATTAACACCAAGTCAGACAAAATAGTCCATTATTACAACCAGGTAAGAATGGGTGAATCAGCATCCCACTTTTCAACTTTCTGGGTTGTAACAAGAATTTAAGTTTTTTCAGCACATATCTTTCTTCAATTAAAATGTATTTCACCAACTTGCACTATAAGAAATGAGGAGTAAATCACAAGGTTTTCTTTAAAAAAGAACAAATTTATCATCTGATAATCCTGAGGGAAATAATAGAGACAATGACATCAAACATACAGCCTTCGTGCAGTCGCTTGGACTGCAAAGTTAAAAGGGGATAGTTCCAATATAAAGGAAGATAGAAAGAATATACAGTTTAGTGTCCTTTGGTGTCCTTGAGGTGTGAGGTTTTAACAGTGCTGAAGATCGATGGTTAGTTAGTTAGTTGGTTTCTTGGACTGTCATTAGTATTGAATACTGCAGTTATCTTTTATGTTCTTGGTTCTCTGATGTTTCTTTCCAATCAGTGCTGATGAACAAGGTACCTTCTTTCTTTTTAAGAGAACGAGATCCTTCCAAACCTGTGTTCAGTTTTGCATCAATGATTCCATTGCCTCTGTTCTGCCAAAATAGCCCTCTGAAATGGCAGCCTATTTTTATTGTCCATTCCTGCAGAAGTTATATTTTCAGGCTTAATAACTGTGTAGCAGTTTCACTTCCAACATATGAAGATTCTTATAATGGTGTAAAGCAAATAGATGAGGGCCCTCTCATGCTACGCAGGAGTCCTGGCTGACCGGTTTCATTGTCCTTTGGTAAAATGATAATTTTAGCTCAGATTGCCTTTGATATAATTCACATAGATTTTTCAAGCTGAGAGATTTATTTGGCTATTTTAAACATAGAAACAGAAAATAGGAAGAGTGGGCCATTCACCCTTCGACCCTGCTCCACCATTCAACATGACCATGATTGATCATTCAATTCATTACCCTATTCCCGCTTTCTCTCCATATCCTTTGATCCCTTGAGCTCTAGAACTATGTTCAACTCTTTGAAAAGACTCAATGTTGTAGCCTCAACTGTTTTCTGTGGCAGTATTTTGAAACCTTTTCAGTCCACAGAAGTCAAAGGCATGGGATTCCAAGATCAATAGTCACATTTTGTATCATCACTCCACTCAAGTAAAGTAGTGTAGCATATTCATTATTTTTCTGTCAATAATGCAGTCAAGGTGTACTGATGGGACAAAGTAAATGTGATTATAACAATTGCTTTGCATGTGCACTTTACTGTGAAATAAAGCAGCTTATATTTGGTATCAAATCTAATGTCATTTGTTCAGGTTCAGATTCACAAGGATTATGCTGCAACCAAATTGCACAAAACTAGGACCTCATATGCATGAAATGACTGACACCATCAAACACATGAAGATAGCTATGCAACATCTGAATTTGTAGCTGCTGATAAAGGTCAGTATTTTAAATAAGAGGAGAGAGATGAGGATGCATCCTTAGCGAACTCTCATAATGACAGCATAGGAGTGGGAAAATAAGCCATTGGGATAGCTACTTTGGTTCCAAGTTGATGAATAACAGCCCAACTAAAAGAAGCAGTCCCCTAAAATTATGTTTCTGTTTAAACTACATTCCTGTATTATCAAATAAGTCTTAAAGGGCATATGTGCTATAAAATCATGAACAGTTTTCACATACCTGCACTGCCTCCCAGCCCCATTCTCTATATCTGGGGTCATGGGTAAATCTCCACATGTGCATGTAGGTTTCAACCACTTCAGGTCGCAGAATGTAATACTTATCATTCATTCTTGTAGCAACAGCATCTGCACCACCATCAAAGCGAAATGCTTCAGGACCAAGTCTTGTTGCTAAAAATCAATAAATATTTGTGTATTCAAAAGGAGAGAGTATTCAATTAAAAATCTTATTTAAAATTAATTTCAGAATCATTCCAATCTTTTCTGTAATTCTAGCTAATAAAGACTGGCATGAAATTCTGCTTCTGGTGTAACACAGGGGTTTGTTTTTGCAATGACTGCACAAACTGAGACTGAGCAGTTTCTGCACTAGCTTTTAAGAATTACTAAATATAGCTATAACTGCATCTTCTATGCAAAAAGTTCTATCACAGGGGAAGCAGAATTTCTGGCCTTCAATTTCAAATTAAGAGGATGTGCAACTTAGAGATAAATATTTACATATGGAGAGGGACCTTTATTTCAGCTATTAGCAAATTATGAATAAAGTTAATTGCCTATAACCTTTAAGCAAATGGAGAGAAGTGGAGTGAAGAAAATCTCAACGTAGGCACAAAGCCAATTCTATGAGCAAGTGAATGAGTGAACCCATTTTACAGATGAGTAGCGCAGCTTTGTTAAGTGGGGGCAAGCAGCATTCTCCCCAGAAGTTACCGGGGTATGTAATGTTAAACAATTCATATGAACTGTATTTATCTGTGGAACTTGGGGACAGATGGAGAAAAAGGCAGTGCACTGAGAAAAATCTGACATAGGAACAGCATCAACTGCACCACTCATTTTGTGTACAGCAAGTTTTCTTGCATGGCTTGCCTGTTCCAGAGGCACTTCTCACTCAGGCCAAGCCTACAGCTTGTTCTGTGTATCTTGCAAAAAGTCACACTTCAGGGAATATTTCTTCAAAGAGAATTTAAATCTTTCCACATTTCACATTTTTTGACAAAATAATATCTCAGTATTTTTAAATCATGCTGCACGGCGAACATGTATTTTTGACGTTCAGATAGTTGTGGTGCATTTTTGTATATGCTCCTTTAACTTCCAACCTCTAGAAACAATGGACCATCAACTGGAATAAAAACTGAAAATAGTGGCGAAACTAAGCAGGTCTGGAAGCAAATGTGGAGCAGAAACACAGTTAACATTTTTCATCCAATCTGACTCTTCTCTGCACAGTTGCAACAAGACCTACTAAGTTTCTATAGATTTTTTTTATTTCAGATCTCCAGCATCTGCAGTACTTTGCTTTTAAATATAAATTGAACCCTGACTCATCCATTGTTCAGTCATAAAATGGGATGAAAAAACTGAAAATTATGTAGAGAAATTTCTAGTTCTCCAAGGTACCGGCGATCATCCAAAGCCATAGGGCCAAAGCATTAACCTATCAATAAGAGACTCTTGACAAAAGACAAGAAATTTGGAGTCAGGGGATTGAAGGATGGCTGAAAAGCAGAAAACACAGGGCAGGAATTAAAAGAAACTTCCAAGACTTTAGAGACAGTATTCTGTAGGGATCCATGCTTCACATTAGTCACATCCCCAGTTGTTCCAGTACAGTTACAACACTGACGTATGGAAAACAATGTATGTCCTGCGCCCAAAAACAGGTGAAATCCATCCAAAGATGGCCATTTACCATCTTTCAGTACACTCTTGATCATCAACAAAATGTCGAAACCTATAATTGACACAGCAACAACATGGTCACCAATGCTCAGTTTGGGTTCCACCAGGCCTACATGGTTCTAGACTTCAACTCAGCCTTGGTCAAAACATCTGAACTTAAGGGATGAGGCGAATGTGAACCAGCATTTGACTGAATCAAAATGCCTTAAGAAAATTGAAGTCAATGTAAATCAGGAGGCATACTCTCCACTGTTTGGCATCATATCTAGCACAAAGGAAGATGGAGGCCAGACATCTGAGCCCCAGGGCAAGCTGCAGGAGTAGTATCTAAGGCCCAATCATATTCAGTGAATTCATCAATGACCATATGTGGCAAAATTCACTGATGACTGTAAAGTGTTCAGTACCATTTAGGACTCTTCAGATTTAGAAGCATTCTGTGTTCAGATGCAGGAAGACTCTTGAACACTCAGGCTTGGACTGATAGGTGGTAAGTAAAAATCACACCACACAACTGTCAAACAATGAGATAATCTAATTATCTCCCCTTGAATCCAGCAGCATTACCATTGCGGAATCCCTCACCATTAACATTCGTGGGTTACCAATGATCAGATGCTGGACTTGTCGGCAATTCACTTACCGACTCTCTCACTATCAATAAAGCTCAAGACAAAGTGTGATAGAGTATTCTCCACTTAACCAGATGAGTGGCAACTCCAGCAACATTCAAGAAGCTCAACAATTCAGGACAATGTGATCCCTCTTGACTGGCACCCCATTTGATACTTTAAGCATTCACTCCCTACACTACCTGAGCACAGTGGCAGCACTGTGTATAATACTTTGGATGTACTCCAGTTTTGTGAAGGTGACTTTTTTTTTTAAAGAGGTCTGAAAGTCATTTGGAAAAGTAACCTAAATATATTATTTCCAAGAAAGCATGTGACTTGGTAAGTGCCTAGTTAGCTACCTGTGCTGGTAACTGATGCAGTTTTACACAGTGGCCATTCGTGGTTTTGGTTTGGTTCAGAGGCACATTTTCACCCTAGAACAAAGGTTTTTAGTTTGTGAAGTCTCTAAACTATATAGCTGTGTAGAGTTTTTCAGCTGTCAGAAATGAAAAGTGTTATTAAAACTGAAAAGAGTCTCTAGGCCATCAAACCTGGGAAGAGTAATTAAGTAACAAATTAAAGAGTAAAGAGTAACAGATTGTTAGGATTGAGCATTTACAAGGAAATTGCTAGTAAACGGGTCATTTTGCTGTTTGTGCCAATATCTTTCTAAACTATCTTGTTAAACTTTTTCAATGCTGAACCACCATGGTAAAGAACTATAAAAATTTTAATTTGATATCACTCTGGGATTTTACTTGTTCAGTATGAACATCAGGTGGGATCATAACAGTAAATAACAATCAGAAATATTAAGCAGGCTGGGGTTGTTAACTCCAGAAGAGGAAGGACTTGGAGGAGATAAATGCTTTTAAAATTATGAAGGGTTTACTTGGATGGATGTGAAGAAATTGCTTCCATGTGTGAGTGAGTCTAGAACGGAGCAGCAAAGAGTTTGGGAGTACTGTTATGATAGAGTTCAGAAATTGTGGAAATTGCTGCCACATGGAGAGATGGAAGATGATAACACTGACATATTTAAACATAAGATTGATAAATAAATGAAAGAGAAATTAATAGAGATACATGGGAATAGGGTGGGATGAGGTAATTAAAATGCGATGTGGTTTGTGTGAAGTCTAAACAACAACAGAAACCAACTGAAGCACATGACTTGATGTGTTGTAAACTGTGCATTTCCATGGGTTAGGGGATAATTCAATGCATTTCTAGAAAGGTGTGAATGAAAACCACAGGGAAAAATTAAGTTCTAACAAAACATGACTGACAGTATAAATTATGTTACTATTCCACCGACTGCACAAAGCTCAGAGACTAACAATGTTGTACACGTATGTGTTGACAGGCTACACACAATGATAATCCCTTTTTACAAAGGTCCAGTGTAATATGAGAACAAATCATGAGAAGCACTAAAGAGTTCTCAACAGTTGCAGTGATGGATTTGTAAGAAACTCCTTCACTCACTATTTGACAAAGGCATCTAAAGTTGTTAAAAATTAACATACCTGTTAATCTATGTGCAGTGCAATTTTCAGGAATATGTCTCCTACCTGAACGTCTGTATGACTCATGGCAGGTGATGGTGATTTCTGCTGCTAATTCCATGTAATGTTTAGACAAGTCTGCTGGTGCATCATCAGCTCCCATTGCTAACATCCCTCCAGAAAAACAGGCTAGGTGACCCATCTTATGGTCCAGTATTCCACCCCTCCATTCTGCAATATAGGTCAAACCACTGGCAGATTTTCTCACTAGATTTGTCTCTATAGCCTGTGGGTGCACAAAAAGACAGAACATTTTAGTTTATGTGGCATTATGTAGCATTCTGTTATTTATTCAGATGTTAGATGAAGTTCCAATGTTCTAAGATTTTGGAGTAGATCTGTAGCTCAGGTTGTGGGTGTTGAGGTTGGTTGGCTCGCCGAGCTGGTTTGTTGTTTTGCAGACGTTTCGTTACCATGCTTGGTAACATCCTCAGTGCAGCCTCCGATGAAG